AACAGCAGCCGCAAGTTCCTGCCTAGCGAAGTGGCGAAGCCACCTCGCATGTGCAGCTTGAACTGAACTAGCGAATGACCCGTCTGGCATCTTCGCAGCCAAGATGATGTTGTGCTGCTTGTGCTTTTTTACTTGGGGCTCCTAACGCTCTCAGCGACGCATAAACCTTAGCGTAGTCGCGAGAGGACCATGCGTCATAAACATCCTGAGCAATCAAACTCAGTTCATCGGCTGCGTCCACCGTGACAAGACGACTGACTTCCAGGACAATGGGTTCAAGCAGCCAGAACTGCACTGGGGAGTAGCGGACTGCTCGCAGGCGTGCATTCCATAAGAGGTCGCACCGAGCAAGAGGTCGCGGTCGGCTGCACAACGGGGCGAAGAACAAGGATATGGTTGAATGATCCTGCGTCGCAAGACGAAGCGAATTACGCACGACACGACCCGTGCGCCTCCACCTCGCCGCCACGGCGGAACGCACGGTACAAAACGTTTGCTGAGAGATTCGGCCCAGCTCCGCAGCGGGGGAGAGAAGCTCCTTGCGCACAGGGGCCACAGGGGCTAAACACCTCGTGCGAGACTGCCGAACAATAGGCGCCCTTCGCCATGCCACGACAACATGCCTGAGCAACACACGACACGACGAAGAGAAGCAGCGAAGGGAAGTAACAGGACGATTGGACCAACTCCTAGACCAGCTAACCCATCTCCATCCTGCAAAAAAAGGATGCGAGCGCTCAACCAGGTCGCCTCCGTACGGAGCTGCCGAAGGAAGCGCCGCGCCAGGTGCAGGGCTGACAAGTGAAAAGCTGTGCGATGGGGACGTCCAACCTTTTTGACATGTGGCTCGGCTTGAAAAAAATATTTCATGCCTTCTTTGACATAAATATTGCCTTGTTCACAATGTTTTGAAACTGGAACCTCCCAACCAGGTTTGGGGCAAAGCTGCGCGTGTTCTTCAAAATCGCCGATGCATTGGGGGTCGCGCGACTTGGCGCGATCCAGCCTGGGCTTATCAGACAGAACGCCTTGACGTTGGCGCAGGGATGCAAGGTCGAGTGCGCCGCCCGCCTGGGCCAGCGAGTGATCTGGACGCTTGACCGCTAGATCGATGTCTTCGTTTACAGACGGATTGGTGGTAGCTCCTTTCCAATCCAGCGGGGCACAGATACAGTCCAGGCGGCGCGTGGGGAAAAAGCCACTCGGGGGGGTCCGTGTTTGAGCGCGAAGGGGGTCACCCGAAAAGGTAGAGGGAACACGCGACCCTCCCTCTAGCCAAAACTATGGAAACACTCACCATTGAAGTCCTCTTTCTCTGGGGCTATCGCGCCAACGGCCGAGGATGTCCTGGATCCCATGGAAGCATTTGCGTCCACTAGAACAAAAACATAACAGGTCACAACTTGCGCATCCCTAGCAATGCCATTGAACTCATTCCACCGCGCTCTGATTTCAGCGCGTGACTTTTTGGTATGGGGGGGGGGCATGGCCAACACCGGTCGTTATGGAACTGTCTCCAGTGACAATGTTGACCACAGGCATTGTAGGAGATGCGGTGACAACTGTTACCATGTCGCGGGACATGCGGGATCTAGACATGGCCGGGGAAAACGGCGCCGTGCGACGAAGCCCGAGCGAGCAGCCGCGCGCGGCGAACTCCGATCTCGGCCCGTGCAGGACACGGTAATCTCAAATATGTGCCCAACCTTCCTTCGGCATTCTCGACTCTACCGCCCCAGCGATGTTGATGTTATGTTTAGCAAACTGCTGAGCAAGCATGCGAGGGCGCCCAGAGGCGAACAGTCCAATGCGCCTAGGCGGGCCCTTGGGCGCAGCTTGCAGAGAGAGGGCGTTCGCCGAGCCAGTGCGAAGGTGAACGCTGCCATCGCATGTGAGCTTTGGCGCTAGAATTGAGTCCGAGAGCGGCAGTCGTGATCAAGTCCCAACTGTGACGACCAAGGTGGAGAGCGCAAGTTGGGGGCTCGGGACATCGGTCGCCAGGATGAGCTCCCCATCGATGTCTGGTGGGGAACTGGCAGTCCACTTGCAATCCCAGTTTGTCGAGCCACGCCCGTTCGGCGACGAGGTGGCCCCCGAGCCAAACAGCCCAGGGACAGCACGAAGGGGGGAAACACGATCGAGAATAACAAGTGCTGCAAGTGAGTCTTCTAATTCATTCATGGGGTTGTCAGTATGAGATTTGATGCGCTGGAAACTCAGACGGCGCCCAACTTGAGAAAAAAAAAAAAAAAACAAGGGGCGCATGGCTGAAGCATATCCACCAAGAGGATTCGTGGTCTCGTCGCCACGGGCTGCGTTGACAACCAACAGGTCATCGAGGCAGAAATGCACCTCGCCGACGTTAGCTTGACATGACCAAGCGACGGCCCAGATGAGAGCGACGACCTCCGACCGCAGGCTTTTGAAGCTGGGGAGGGGGGGGGGGGGGGGGCTGCGTCTGGATCCAGCTTGCCCGCCGCAAAACCTAGGAACTGAGGCCCCGTTGTGTCCTCATCTAGAAGTGCCGCAAAAGCCCGAGCGGGGGGGCATGTCGCTGCGCCCCCCGACCCATCCGTAAAGATACGAACAGACCGATAGGCAGGGGAAGCGGTGGCTAGAGGGATGGAATCAAGAAAAGAGACTGTCGATGGAAGGCAGTGCACGCCTATAGTTTTCCAGTCCTGGGAAATGAGGGAAGGCCACGGTGCCTTAATCGCTTAAGCTGCGGGCGGGAGATCGGGGAAGCTAGACCTTGGGGTGTGGTAGTGAGGCCGTCCACTCCCGTCAGAGCGATCGAGACCATCGCAGATAGGAGTGGGCGGCATGGCTATCCCAACCGCAGCGCATCTGCACCAGCGGCAGCATCGCTCTCCCCAGTTCCCTCCCGTGCTCCCCTGGGCGAGCGAGAAGCTGCTCGCTGCGGAGACCGAGAGGCTCGACCTCTGGGAAGCGCGGAGTGGGCAGGTGGTTCATGAAGGGGCCCCAGGACACACAAATAAATACACACAAATAAAAAGATCTCCCATATGTTGCCATATGTTCTTGGTTTTTGTCTTCCCCCACAACTTCCCATATTTTCCTATATGTTCCTGGGGATCGACGATTAATTGTGTCTGTGTGTTTCTTTCCCTCCTGAGTTCAGGCTGCGCGAGCGCCAGTCCAGGCGAGGCGGCGGCAATAGGCTCCACCGTGGCCCGCGCGCCAGCAGCAGCAGCTGCGGCGGGGCCCAGGAGAGTCTCTGGCACTGGCCCAGTCCTTGGGCGGATGGCCAAGACCAGCGCGTCGTGGCGCGCGCGGACCCCTGCGATCCGCTGCGCGAGGGTGGTCACTTGCGCGTCGACGCTGGGCTGATAGGCTGCAAGCGCTGAGTTCGTAGAACTGAGCTGCTGCTGCAACGCCGCGAAGTCTGGCATCATCTGTGCCTGCACGGGGGCTCGCCCTGCGGCTCCGCTCGACTCATGGGCTCCCTCCTGACTGGCCCCGCCGGGAGCTGAGGCGCCCCGTCCTCGCCGAGAGCTGGGTCGATCTCCATCGCGGTGCCCTCGGGCCGCTCCTCCAAAATCTCCTGAAAGGCGGTCTCGTGACGCGCGGCCCACTGCTCCGCAACATCCCGCTTCTGACGCAGGGACTCGAGCTCCAGCTCCAGCTTCTCGATGCTGCTGCACAGATGTGTGTGCCTGGCCTTCGACCTTGACAGTGCAGCCAGCTGCCTGTCGTGCTGGTCCTGCCATGACCGGCAAAAATGTATGGCGGTGGGGACCACGCTGAACCAGTCGCGCTCGTCCTCGGAGCTCTCCTGGAGCTCGTATTTCATCCTGATAGAGGCTGCGAGCGTCCTAAGCGCGAGCTTCCTCTTCGCAGTGTACTGGTTCCTGTCGGCAGGCGACGCAGATGTTGTTAGATCTCCAGGATACCGGCCATGAAGCCGCGCTGCTCCTTCTGCGCGTGAGCCAGGCTGACTCTGGCCTTGGTCCACTCGAGCGGGAGCTAGAAGGCGCAGCGGCCTGCCAGGATGTTGTAGTACGGCTGCAAGATCTGCATTTTGTACCTGAGGATGCGAGAAGAAAGATACCGACCATGAAGCCGCGCTACCCGTGCAAATGCAGGCATGATCCCCAACGGCTGGCGATCGTCGTCCTCCTCGTCCTCGTCGACAAACGGGACAGCCGGGCTGGCGCTCCGTCCGCGGCCTCGACCACGCACGTGGCGCCCACCTGGGGGCTCGCCCTGCTGCGCAGGGGCCTGGCGGACCCGCGGGTCCCGAACGAAACCCTCGGAGCCCTTCGACTGACCCTTGCCTCCAGGATGCTCGAGATGCACCTGCGGACAGGACCGACACGAGGAGCGTGCGACGAAATTGGACACACCACATTGCGTACACGTCCACGAACTCATGGGTTGATGCGAATGATGAATAAGAAACCGATCGCGGACGCCTGACACTCGTACTTGGAGGTCAGAAGTCACTTCACGGTCTCGAGCGGCCGCAAGGCGTAGAAGCAGCCTGTCGTCAGCGCGCCGCTGCCGCGCACGCCGATGAACCGCATATTCTCTTGGCTGCTGGGCAGCCGTTCCGCACGTCGCGGCCTGCCGAGGGTACGCTCGGCTGGCACGCCAGGCGAGAGCAATGGAAACCAAAAAGGAAGTGACAGTGGATGGTACACTATAAAAAATGCAAGGCAAAACGCACCGCCAGGAAATGCCTCCGACGGCTCAAGCCTTGAGGAAGAGGGAGGACGGAGGAGGGGAGACGGAGGAGGAGGAGGAGGAGGAGGAGGAGGAGGGGAGGAGGAGGAGGAGGAGGAGGGAGGAGGAGGAGGAGGAGGAGGAGGAGAAGAGGAGGGAGAAGGAGGAGGAGGAGGAGGAGGAGGAGGAGGAGGATGGAGGAGGAGGAGGGTGGAGGAGGAGTAGGAGGAGGAGGAGGAGGGAGGAGGAGGGGGAGGAGAAAGAGGAGGAGGAACGACCCCCTCCCGTCAGGAGCCCCTCCTCTTCCAGGTGACCTCTGCCGCACTCTCTGGTGCTCGACCCGGTGCAGCGCGCCGTGCGGCGTCACGAGCAGGGCGACGTCGTCGTCGGAGGGCCTCTCGCCCTCGGTGGGCACGAGCGCGGCAGAGCCCAGGAGCAGCAGCGCTCGCCCCGCGCGGGCCACCGCGCCCATCGCGGGACCGCCGCGGCGGGGGGACCCCTCGGGCAAGGCGAAGCTAGGACGAGGATGACGTATCGGGCACAGACACGTCGAGAATCTCTGAGGTCCGGCGGACTTCTGGAGGACGTCTCGGGCGCCGCGGCCTTCTCTCAGAGCGTTCCGGGAGGCTCTGAAAGCGTTCCGGAACGCCTTTGGGACGGATGTTGCATCCTCGCCCCAGCCCCGCCCGATCGGGGCCTCTCGCTCGCGCCGGATTCTGGCGCCAGGGGCCCTCGAGCACTGCTGACTGGCTTCACTCCTCGCCTCCAGCTCCGTCCGCCCCCGGCGTGTTGGTCACTGTCCCGTCGGGGCCTGGGTCCTGCACAGCCAACTGGGGTCCACCCGCGCAAAGGACCCACAAACAGGGTTGACCCAAGGGACTCAAAACACAGGAAGAGCATACGTCTGTCTGCCTGTACGACTCTCTCTCTCTCTCTCTGTACGTTTCTATCTCTCTCTCTCTCTTTCTCGACACGCGTATGTGAACTTACATATATATATATATATATATATATGCATGAATATGTATATGTACATTTCTATATACATGTATATATATATATATATATATATACATGTAAAGGTGTATACATGGATGCTATATGTGTATATGGCGTGATCATCTCTTTCTCTTTCTCTCTCTCGCTCTCTCCGTGTCTCTCTGTGTGCCTCTCGCTGGCTTTTTGTTTGTTGTTGGTTTTGCTGTTCTCTCTCCATCTCTCTCTTCTTCTCTCTCTCTGTCTTCCTACAGATATATAGATGTATGTGTGGATGTGTGGATGTGTGTGTGTGTGTTTGTGTCGCTCTCGTATCGTCTTGTTAGTCGTCTCGCTCGCTCTCGCTCTCTCTCTCTCTCTCTCTTCCTTTTTCCACCTCGCCCTGCAGAAACAACGCATCTCACGCTCCTCGCTCGTTTTCGCTGCTGCGGGGGCAGCGTACGTGTTCATGTGGTTTCACCATCTCACCTTGTCTGACCAGTCGTACCATGGTATATGACATACATCTGCTATGTTCTCTCCTATTCCTCCGTCACAGGTTTCATCATGTTTCCTTTTGGTTGTCCTCGTCTCATCCCCCTGCGTCCCTCGCCATTCGCCTCCTCCTCCGCATCATCATCAACTTCATTGCCCCTCTCCGCCTAGTCCTACTCCTCAATATCCTCTTCCTCCGCCTCTTCCTCTTTTCATCTTGTCCCCTGTGGCCCCAACTCTCTCCTTAAAACGGCTTCCCTCTTCCTCCCATCACTCCTCCCCCCTTTCTCCCACATCCACTCTCAATCATCCAACCTCCTACGTCGTCCTCCCGCCTCGTTCCACACTACCCCCCTGCCCTCCTCCCCCCCTTAGTCCCTCACCTCCACCCTCCGCCCTCCGTCGATACATTGCTCTCCGTGCTGCCACGGAAAGCCATCCACCAGTGTCTTCACTCCTGTTGCTTCCTCCCCTTCGCTCCCTATCTCTCCATCACCATCCCCGGCCGACGCAGCTCCCCTGCCGGCCGCTGCAGCCGTGAAAAGGCCGATCAGCAGTAGCTCCCATGGCGGGGAAGACACTCGTGCCATCCCGTGGCATGGTGGACCTCGGAGGGCCTGCGCTGTCCCTTTCCCCGTCATGACTCTTCAGGTGCCACTTCTCTGCGGTGGGGCCAGGCCGCCAACAACTGGACACATCTCCCTGGGTGTCAGGCGCCTTCTCGCCTACAGCGGGTTCCATACGACCTCCTCCTTTCTCACCGCTCCCGCCTCACCCCACCATCCCCCTTGCCGCCTGCCAAGACGTACTACCGCAGCTGTGTTTGCTGGCCAGCTACCTGGCACTTGTCATAGACATGCTGCCCCAGACGGCGCTGTCCGATCGACCTCCCTGCCTCCCCCCACCTTCCCCATTGATTTCGCATCCTCCCTCTTTCCTCCCTCCACCTCCCCCCCTCCCGGATCCGCCCTCCCTCACTGAAACATTACCCTGCGACGTACCCAACCCATTATGCCATTTGCATCAAGTGACAAGAAGAGCTGACCCAACTTTGCCCGGACAGTGACGGTGCAAGCACCGTCATATCCTGTGCACGCTACATGGGATGCGCTAGCGTGGCACGGCTCACAGAATAACAGCAGGAGGACGAGGATCGAGGGCCCAGGCTGAGGCTTTTTCTCTCCGAGCTCCAGTGGCACCGTCCGACGGCGCAATCGGCGGCGACGGAAAGCGCCCCGCGGGCCCTTCCCCCCCCTCATCCCCCCCCCCCTCAAGCCTCAATATTCCTTCACCCTTTCCTCCTCCTCCTCCCTTTCCTCCTCCCTTTCCTCCTCTCTTTCCTCCTCCTCCCTTTCCTCCTCCTCCTCATGCTCCTCCTCCTCCTCCTCCCCCTCCTCCTCCTCCCTTTCCTCCTCCTCCTCCTCCTCCTCCTCCTCCCCTTGCTCCTCTCCTTCCTCCTCCCGTCCCCCGTCCTCCCGCCCTTCGTCCTCCCGCCCTTGGTCCTCCCGCCCTCCGTTTTCCTCCCCCCTCCCCTGTTCGCACCCCGTCCCTCCCGCAGGAGACCGCGCACCACCGCCGCCCTCTTTGGGTGCGGCGGCGGTGCCCCTAGGCGGCGCCCTCTGTGCCCCAGCCCCCGCCGCGGCGCCAAGAGGAGACGGGGAGGCAGAGGATGAGGAGGAAGAGGAGGAGGAGGAGGAGGAGGAGGAGGAGGAGGAGGAAGAGGAGAATGATGAGGAGGAGGAGGAGGAGACGGAGGAGGAAGAGGCGCATAAGGAGGAGGCGGAGACGAAGGAGGCGAGGAGGCGGAGAAGAAGGAGGATGAGATGGAGGCGGAGGAGGAGGAGGAAGACAAGTGCAAACCGAAGGCGTACCACTGATGCTGCAATACGCCCTCCCTCAGAGCTCCCCGCTCATATGCCCCATGCCAGGATGTAGGTTTTTATAACGGGAAGCGTCCCACTGTGAGACAACAACCAACCAATCCCCCATTCAGTCGAAACGCCATCCCTGGGACTTCAACGCAACGAATCAACGTGACTGTTGCGTCTTGTCAATCCTAAACCGTGCCAGCATACCTTTCCTGGACATTCAACCATAATACGAGCCACTTAAATTGCGGACGCCGCTTAAAACGAGTGTGCGCGGCGCTGAGGCGAGAGCCACGTCATGTTGGAAACCACCTGCCCTCCAAACCTGAAGCTGTTAAAGTTTTAAGACGCATGCTCGCGGCGCTGATGCGATAACCACATCATGTTGGAAACCACGTATCCCCCAACATTGAGGCTGTTGCAGTTTTAAGACGCGTGCTCGCGGCGTTAAGGCGAGAACTGCAGTTTGAAAACCGACTGCCCTCCACCGTTGAAGTTGCAGTACACTTTTAAAACGAATGTGCGCGGCGCTGCGGCGAAAGCCGCATGTTGAAAACCAGCCGCCCTCCATGTGTGAGAATGGGGCAAACCTTCCCAGAAGTTATCTCTGGCTGGGATGCCCTCGCAGAGCCTCCTGAAGTGGCGGTGCCAGGGCGGCGTCGGGAACAACGCCTGCAACCCGATTCAACCCACAAATGTCCCACAAAGTTCGAAAGGGATCCGGGGCACCCATGATAATCTCAATAATTGTATCCATGCTACGCCATGCATCAGAAGCGAATCGAACACCTGGACTCGGGATACAGCTGTCCAGCCAGGGCAACATGTGAGTGGCGATGCCCATCACCGAAGGAAAACGCGACACGGACACTGAGGCATCCACGGGTGTTGCCCACGGTGGAGCGCATACGGCGCCGGAGATCCACGCTTATGTGGAACACATTACCTCGATCTTTTCTGAACATCCATGCGCGCGCAATGGATGCAACGGTGTAGCCTTCAATCCAGCTTTCGGCAAACCTCACAGCAAGCAACACAGGGTACGTACCAACTCGAACACGGAGTTGAGCCCAGCGAACAAGTCTACCAGACATGATGCCAGCCAGCGTCTGCTTGTCCTGATTTTTGAAATTGCCCAGCGCTGGCAGGTATCTGTGGTTTCGCCGCATTGCGTAGTCTCCTCAGACTTCGAAGGCATAGTTCTGGGAGCGCGGTTGAAGAAACCAGTCTCAGACTGAACATAATCACTGAAATCGAACATCAACCAACCACGTCCCGTGTGACCATAACGGTTTGTTCACCAAAACTGTGCTGCCATCGAGCTCACATGTGCCAGGATAAACAACTGCATGGAGAAGTCGAACACGCCATTTGCAAATATATCTGGTAACACTTGAAAACATAAAACTACCATCCGCGTACTGAGCGTGAGAAACATGACGCTCGAAGGCCGCCTGGACTGACAGCCGCGGCCACGTTCGAGTCTCGAACTCGTGTTCCCGCAACCCAAGCACTTCATCAAGCAACGCTTGATGCCTCGAGTTGCTCAGCGTTCAGATTTCCAAACCTGTAGAGTCGCATTGCAAGGATACATCGGCATGCGCGCAGCAAGCCACTGACAGAGATGACCTAGCTATCCTCAGTGGCAACAGGGGGCCGTACAAATGATGCATCTGATGATCATTGGCACTTCCGTATTGCCACGTACTTTGGACAAGCGCGTTTCGTTGATACCTCCGGAGGGTCCGCAACTTGCAATAAGTGCGACTGCGGAATCATCTCGCACGCCTGCCCAGCATCGGTTGCACTGAAAGACGCGGTTCGGAGCTCAGAGCGGCAAAACATTCAAGCACTGGAACACTGCAAACGACCGCACCCGCCCCCCTCCGCCCCGGCCGCGTTATTTTGGCCTCGCAGCCCCCCTCTCCCCCATCCGCCCCGCAGGTCATCGCCCCCCATCCGCCCGACCCCTTTGTTTCGACGTCGCACCTCCCCCCCCTCGGCCCCCCGCCCCTTGCCCCCCCTCCGCCCCGACCACTTACCTCGGCATCGCACCCCACGCCCCCCACGCCTCTCCCCTCCGCCCCGCCGCAGGCCCCCGCGCCCGCCTCCCTCCAACCCAGACCTTATTTCGGCGTCGCACGACCCTCCCGCCTCCGCCCCGCAGGCCTCCGCCTCCGGCCCCCTCCGCCCAGCCACCACACTTCTTCAGTGTCGCACGCCCCTCCCCCTCCCCCCTCCGCCTCGCAGGCCCCCGCCACCGCCCCCTCCGCACCGATCGCTTCATGTTGGCGTCGCGCCCCTCCGTTCCCCACCACCGTCCCGCAGGCCACCGCCCGCGTCCCCCTCAACCCCGATCGTTCTCATGTGGTATCACATACAAAACACACAATACACACAACACACGCACAACACACAACACACAACACACACACAACACACACACAGCACAGATTTATATATATATAGATATAAAGACACAAAGACACATATACACAGACACACAGACACACAGAGACACGGAAACACAGAGACTCAGAGACACACCGACAGAGAGACAGAGAGACACAACAATCACAGAGAACCAGAGATACAGAGACACAGAGATACAGAGACACACAGACACAGAGACACACGGACACACAGACAGACACAGACACACAGGGACACAGAGACACGGAGACACAGAGACACACAGACACTCAGACACACAAACACACGGCACACAGACAAACAGGCACACAAGCGAACAGACAGACAGACACAACAACATACAGGCACACAGGCACACAGGCACACAGACACACAGGCACACCGACACACAGGCACACACACAGACACCCAGACAAACAGGTACAAAAACACAAAGACAACCACACACACAAGCACATAAGCACACACAGACACACGCACACACAGGCACAGGCACAGGCACAGGCACAGGCACAGGCACAGGCACAGGCACAGGCACAGGCACGGGCACGGGCACGGGCACAGGCACAGGCACGGGCACGGGCACGGGCATAGACACAGACACAGACACAGACACAGCCGCAGCCACAGCCACAGCTGCAGTCACAGCTTCAGCCACAGCCACAGACACAGAAAGACACAGACACAAACACAGACGACGCAGACGCAGACGCAGACGCAGACGCAGCCGCAGACGCCGACGCAGCCGCAGCCGCAGCCGCAGACGCAGACGCAGATGCAGACGCAGACACAGACACAGACGCAGGCACAGACACAGAAACAGACGCAGAAACAAACACAAACACAGGCACAGCCACAGACACACACAGGCACAAAAACGCGCACGCGGCACATGCACAGTCACAGTCACAGGCACAGGCACACGCACAAACACACACACACATTCACACACACACACACGTACACGCAAAAGCACACGTACACACGCACACACGCACACACGCACGGGGGCTGTGGCCTGCTGGGCTGAGGGGGGGGGGGCGCCGAAATAAAGTACGGTAGTCGGGTCGGCGGGAGGCAGGGGCGGTGGCCAGCGGTGCGAAAGGGAGAGGGGCAATGTGCGACGCCACAATAGATTGGTCGGGGCGCACGGGGGCGGGGGCGGTGGCCTGCGGGACACAATGTTAGGGGGGGGAGGGCGGCGTGCGACGCAAAGAGCGGTCGGGGCGGAAGGGGCGGGGGCGACGGCTTGCGGGGCGGAGGGGGGGAGGGGGAATACCACGGTAAACAAAAAATGGTCGGGGCGGGGGGGGCGCGGGCGGGGGCCTGCGGGGCTGAGGGGGGAGAGGGAACGTGTGTGTGTGTGTGTGTGTGTGTGTGTGTGTGTGCGTGTGTGTGTGTGTGTGTATGGTGTGTGTGTGTTTGCGTGTGTGTGTGTGTGTGTGTGTGTGCGTGCGTGCGTGCGTGCGTGCGTGCGTGCGTGCGTGCGTGCGTGCGCGCGCGTGTCTGGGTGTGTATGTTTGCGTGTGTGTGTGTGTTTCTGAGTGTGTGTGTGTGTGGTTGTGTGAGTGTGTTTTTGTCTGTGTGTGTGTGCATGCGTACGTGCGTGCGTGCGTGGGAGGGTGGGTGGGTAGGTGCGTGCGTGGGGCGCGGGTGCGTGGGTGCGTGGGTGCGTGTGCGTGCGGGTGCGCGCATGTGTTTGTGTGTGTGTGTTGTGTGTGTATGTGTGGGGCGCGTGTGTGTGGTTGTGTGTGTGCGTGCGTGCGTTTGTGTGTGTATGTGTCCGTGTGCGCGTGCGCGTGTGCGCGCGCGTGTCTGTGTGTGTGTGCGTGTGTGCGTGGGTGCGTGGGTGCGTGGGTGCGTGGGTGCGCGTGTGTGTGTGTGTGTGTGTGTGTGTGCGTGTGTGTGTGTGTGTGCGCGTGCGCGCGCGCGTGTGTGTGTGTGTGTGTGATTGTGTGTGTGCGCGTGGGTGCGTGGGTGCGTGGGTGCGTGGGTGCGTGTGTGTGTGTGTGTGTGTTTGTGTGTGTGTGTGCGTGTGCGTGCGCGCGCGTGTGGGTGCGTGTGTGTGTGTGTGTGTGTGTGTGCGTGTGCGTGTGTGTGTGTGTGTGTGTGTGTGTGTGTGTTCGCGTGTGCGTGTGCGTACGTGCGCGCGCGCGTGTGTGTGTGTGTGTGTGTGTGTGTGCGTGTGTGCGCGTGTGTGCGTGTGTGCCTGTGTGCCTGTGTGCCTGTGCCCCCCCTCCGCCCCGACGCTTTTGATTGTGGCGCTGCCCCCCCCCTCACCCCTCCGCCCCGCAGGCCCCCGCCCCAGCCCACCTCCACCCCGACCGCTTATTTTGGAGTCGCACAGCCCTCCCCCTCCGCCCCGCAGGCCACGGCCGCCGCCCCCCTCCGCACCGACAAAGTCACCCCCCTCCCACCCCTCCGCCTCGCAGGCCACCGTCCCCTCCCCCATCCGCCCCGACCACTTCGTTTTCGCATCGCCCCCCTCCCCCACTCCTCCGCCCCGCAAGCCATTGCCCCCGCCCCCCTCCGCTCTGACAGTCTTATTGTGGCGTCGCACCCCCCCTCCTCCCCGCAGGCCATCGACCCCGCCCCCTGCCGCCCCGACCGTATTACTTTGGCGTCGCACACGCCCTCCCCCCCCCATGGCCCGCAGGACCCCCCCCCATCCGCCCAGACCATTTTATTCCGCCCCGCACGACGCAGCCCCCGCCCCCTCTGCCCACGACCCCCCAGGAGCCCAGTGCTTCCGCCGCCCCAGCAACTTTCTCTTAGCGTCGCAGCCTCCCCTCCCCCCTCAGCTTCGCAGGACGCCGCCCACGCCGCCTCCCACCGCCTCACCCTGCCCCCGCCACCTCTCCTTATTGTCCCCCGGCAGCCCAGCGCCCCCCCCGTCCCGACCGCATTATTGTGGCGTCGCGCCCCCCCCCCCCTCCCCCCGCTCTTCCCTGCAGGACACTGCTCTCGCCCCCTCCCCCCGAGTGCTATATTTTGGCGTCGCACCCCCATCTCCCCCGCAGGACACCCCCTGGTCTGAGGGCGGGCGCTGGGGCTTCACGTCGAGGTTGGAAGCTCCAGGATCTAGGTTCGAATTTTGTTCTAGTCTTCGGACGGTCCTCTCTGTCACCGCGGCTAGACGCGGCTTAGAAAACTACTGTGTTTGAGCCGCGGGACAGGTCCACGGACCTAAGTTAAGCGGATTGTGACCGAGCTCCAACGTCGTACGCAGGAGGAAGGATCGGGATGAGGGGGAGGAGGACGAGGACGAACAACCAATGCCTCGTCGCCTCTGTCATTGCTTTTGCCCCCCCTCTATTCAAGACGCTTGCGCCGTTCCGCCGGCCCAGAGAACCCACTCAACTTATTATGTTCGACATCTAAGAGGTCATCTTGCGCGAGAGGACCCTTGGAGCCTCCTCGAGCCCCCCCCCCCTCTTGAGCCCCTCTTGCGGCCCTTTGCGGGACCCTCTGGCGGCGGTCTTGGGCGCCTCTTGGACCGTCTTGGGACCCTGTCGGGCCGCCTTGGGGTCCCCCATGGGCCCTCAGAAAAGATTACAGTCGGGGTGGAGTGGAGAGGACACGCGAGAGGACATGAGACCCTTCCGACGGCCACATTGCCAGTGGAACATAGGGTCGCGAAACACAGGACACAAGGGTACCCTTGTTTGGGCAGGGTCGACCTACGAATCAAACTCGACTGCATCGGACCGTCTTGGAGCCTCTGTGGCCGTCGTGGATGCTGCTGCCACTCACAGGGCGAGCGGGCTACAAAGTTGCGCTTTCCTCTCCCCTGCCCCTCCCCCGCGCCCTCCCCCTCCGGCCCCTCCTGTGTGTGCCGGGAGCCAGGGCGCGCGTGCCACTTTTTTGTACGGGCAAGGGGTGGGGGAGGAGGAACGGGAGTCCCCAGAGCGCGGGTCTCACAGCCACACTAGACGCCGCGGAGGAGGAGGAGGAGGAGGAGGAGGAGGAGACGGAGGAGGAGGAGAAAGAGGAGGGAGGAGGAGGATGAGGAGGAGGAGGAAGAGGAGCAGGACCAGGAGGAGGAGCAAGAGGAGGAGGAGGGGGAGGAGGACGAGGAGGAGGAGGAGGAGGACGAGGAGGAGGAGGAAAAGGAGGAGGAGGAGGAGGAGGAGGAAGACGAGGAGGAAGACGAGGAGGAGGAGGAGGAGGAGGAGGAGGAGGAGGAGGAGGAGGAGGAAGAGAAGGCGCGAGAGAAGGCACGAGGAAGCGCGGGCTCCGTTGCGCCTACTGGCGGCCAGGGCCGGGGGGGGGAGGGGGGACTGGCGCGAGGACCGAATTCGGCAAATCCGCAGAGAATGGGCATGGGGCGTCCGTCTGATGAGGTGCCGCACCCTCCGAAACAGGCAGAACGCCCTCCTCCTGCTATTGTCCCTCCTTTGCATCCTCCTCTTCCTCCTCCCGCTCCTCGTCCTGCTCACCCGCCACCTCCTCCTCCACTGCACGCGGTTCTTCTTTGTCCGATTGCGCATGACACGAAGTGGTCTTTCTGTGGCAGTCGCGGGTCGGCTATGACACGCGTCTGCGGATAGAGAAAACTCAGCGCCATGGGGAGGGATGAGAGGGAGGGACAGAATGCCAGTTGAGGCGCGAGCGCACCGAGCTTGTCCTCCTGCTCCTCCTCCTCCCCCCTGCCCCTCCTCCCTGAAGATCGGCTCGGACCGCACCGCCCTCCCCGTGTCCTGCGGGCCAGCGCCGGACTGCCCTTCGTTTGGACGCCCGAAATGGGTACCGAAAAATG